ATAAGCCAGTCAATGAAAGAAAAATACTACATGATCTCACTCATTTATGGATAATAAAGACCATTATAAACTGATGAACAAAAATAGATACAGAGGCAGAGCAGCATCGAACAGAGTTTCAAACTACAGCGGGAAGGCTGGGGAGTATTGGGGTGGGGGGGAGGGTATGAGATCAACCGAAGGACTTGTATGCATGCATATAAGCATAACCAATGGACACAAGACACGGGGGTGGTAGGGGATTCCAGGGGAATGTCAAGGGGGAAAAAAAGAAAAAGGAGACATATGTAATACTCTTTGTAATAGTTTAAGCAATAAAACAAAATTTTTAAAAAAAATTAAAAATAGACTACCATATGACCAGTGATTCCACTTCTAGGAATTTATCCAAAGAAACCAGAAATGCTAATTCAAAAGAAATATGTACCCCTATGTTCATTGCAGCATTTTTCATAATAGCCAGGATTTGGAAGCAGCCCCAGGGTCCATCAATAGATGAATGGATAAAATGGCCGTGGTACATTTACACAATATAATACTATTTGGCTATTTTTTAAAAAGGCAATATTACCCTTTATAACAGCATGGATGGACCTGGAGAACATTATGCTAAGTGAAATAATCCAGTCAAAAAAGACAAGTACCATATGATTTCACTCATATGTAGAATTTAATGAATAATCTGAACTACGAAGCAAAATAGAGACAGACTCATAGATAGAGAGCAGGCAGATAGCTCGGAGGATGGGGGCGATTGGTGTGTTAGGGGGTGAGGGGATGGAGGTGGAAGAAGGCATAGAAGGGATAAATGGTGATGGAAAAAAATAAAATTAAAAACATAAGTAAAATTTATTTAAAAATATGTTTTGGCCCTTGCCAGTATTGCTCTGTGGATAGAGCATTGGCCTGTGGACTGAAGCGGGGTTCAATTCCGGTCAAGGGCACATACCTCGGTTACAGCCCTATTGGAGTGCGTGAGAAAGGCAACCAATCAATGTGTTTCTCTCTCTCTGTCTCTCCACCTCCCTTCCACTCTCTCTAAAAAAAATCAATGGAAAAATATTCTCAGGTGAGGTTTAACAAATATATATATATGCTTTGGTAGCCCAGATTTTTAAATCTAAGATTGTGGCAACTAAGTGTCTTGAAAACTTTAATAATAATCCTTGTCTTAAAATTTTGTCTGCCTTGCCACACCTGGATATATAATATACAACATGATGGCTATCTATATATATAAAAGCCTAAGCAACCTTTCAACCGGTAGCTATGATGCGCACTGAGCACCAGGGGGCAGACGCTCAATGCACAGGCATGGAAACATGGAACAGACTGGTGAATCTCAGAGGGAAGGGGGAGGGGGGAGGACAGGAAGAGATCAACCGAAGATCTTATATGTGTACTAGAGGCCCTGTGCACCAGTAGGGTCCCTCAGCCTGGCCTGCACCCTCTTGCAATCCAGGACCCCTTATGGGATGTTGGACTGCCAGTTTCAACCCAATCCCTGCAGGCCAGTCTGAGGAACCCCACCGGTGCATAAATTCATGCACCAGGCCTTTAGTAGTTAATAATATTGTGTTGCATATTTGAAAGTTGCTAAGTAAGTATATTTTAAAAGTTATCATCACAAGAAAAAACAAATCTGTAACTATATATAATGAAGGATGTTAATTAGAATTATTGTGGTTATCATTTCTCAAAATATACAGATATCAAATCATTATGCTATACACCTGAAACTAGTAGTATAATGGATTTAAAATTTATAAATGAAAAACATGTTACCCCTGAAGCCCAAATAAACATTAAATATTGAGTCTATTTTAAAGTAGAAAGTGCTGATGAAAGGGAAGCATTGGTTCCTTACTGCATCAGGTATAAATCATCCTTGGGCTGATGAGTAATGTCCTGAAATTTTACTGAAGTAAATTTCACAGGATACAATGGCCCAACCCTGATTGGAAAGTTCTGTAACAAGTTTTTGTAGATCCCTTATCAGTGTGTATATTGTTTGAATTTCCTTGCAAGAGGATGTTATCAATATGTCACTCCTGTGTTCCTGGAATGAGTTGGATGTGGTTAAGATCTTGCCTGCAAAGGTATGTGCACTGACAGAGCTGTTGAAATAACCCAATGGGAGTTGAGTGAAAATGTATTGTTTTTTCAAAGGTAAAGAAAATTGCTTCTGAGAGACTATAGAACTATGCATAGAATGGAACATACTAGCCAAATTTATAAAAGCAAAATATTTTCTAGTTGATGAGTACAGTATTAATTTGAGTAATACTGAGTATAATATTGAGTATTAATTTGAGTATACAGATCTTAATGAAAGATTCTATGGTATTAAGATTGTTGTAATCCACTGTGAAGTGACATCCTTTTATATCAAGATTGAGCACTGGCCAAATTTTGTTATTAAAGGCAACAATAATAGGAACAATGCATAATAGGAACTATGCATTGGTCAGGCATACCAATTCCCAGGGGTCTCACTACATTGCTCTCAACTTCACAAACCTCATGCTGTGGCAGAGATTTCCATGGAACCCTTATGGTCTCTCAGGAACTTCTCTCTGCAGCCATATGTTTACAACTCGTTCTCACAGTTATCAACAACTGAGTTTTATTTGCACATTTTGAACTTGGGTCCACAGGGCATCTTTAGCTTCTTTAGGAAATTGATCCCCATGCGCCTGTTCTAAAAAGAGCAGATAAAACCTGTGTCACTCTGGCTAATATAGACTCTGCAAAGTTCACACCCTGCCTTCTAAGGACTTCACAATAATCTCTCTTAAAACAGAAATATTAAGGAATTTTCAGTCTATTGAAGTCCTCTCTTCTAATTCTGTCATTGCTAGGAGAGGAGTAGCTTATTTGCTTTTCCTTTTTATTACATATGTGTAGGACTGTGTCCCTCAGAAACTGTGATTTGATTCTGGTTTGGATTCATAGAATGAAAGGTAATATAGTACTTCCTTCCTAGTTAAACTCTACAAACTCGGTTATTTCCATTAAGAAAATGATAGAATGTGGGTGGGAAGCCAATAGAAAACATGTTACTTTTCATATTATTCAGAGATTCACATGGCACATTTCACCTTTGACTTTCCTCTTAGGAACAGTAAGATAAACAGCCCACTGCAGTCATTCATATTGTTGAGGATGTGAGCACTGTATGTTTTTAAAATCACTGATGTTATTCCATAAAAGTGGATCATGAACTCAATCAATTGTGAAAATCTGGATGAAAATGCAGTAATTGCCAAAGACTACAGGTGAGTACAAACAGAGAAGGGAGGGCTGTAGGGAATTCAGATAAATGTTTAACATCACCCAGTTTCTCCCAAAGCTGTATGGGACAATGGAGAGATTGACAAGAATGATTGTGAGGATATGATTTTTCTAACCTATATGCATGTGAATTGTCTTTGCCTGTTAATCAGAAAAACCTAAAGATGAACACAAAATGCATCCATCAAAGTTTCCTTCCTTGGGGATTACCAATTTACCTACAAAAGAATCTTATTGTTAGAAACATGGATCTCCCTCTTCCTGATTTCTGTATCCCAAGAATAGAGGATAGGAAAGTTTAAGGCATACTAAATTGTGGTCCTTGGTTTGCCACCGAGGATCCTTTAAGACTGGGACAAAATCCACTCTGAGATGCTGCCTGTGGATCTCTCATGATCTCTTTTTGCATGCCCTAACCGGTTTGGCTCAGTGGATAGAGCATCAGCCTGAGGACTCAAGGGTCCCAGGTTCAACTCCAGTCAAGGGCATGTACCTTGGTTGCGGGCACATCCCCAGTAGGGGGTGTGCAGGAGGCAGCTGATCGATGTTTCTCTCTCATCGATGTTTCTAACTCTCTATCCCTCTCCTTTCCTCTCTGTAAAAAAAAAATCAATAAAATATATTTTTTTTAAAAAAGATCTCTTTTTGCAGAGATACATCCAAAATAAATTACTAGGAGACTCTGAATGTGACAGAGAAATGTATAAGAATGCTAATTAATATTATTTATTGATGCCTGAGCCTTGTTCATGTAGACAAAAATGCTCATGGCATAAAATAACAGTGTTAGACCAATATCTTAAAAGTTCTAAAGGCCTATTATAAATTCATCCCTCAAAAGAAGTGGAGGTATAGAGAAAATCAATTATATATCAAGATCTTCAGCATAATCTGTGTGGGGAAATTCCCGTTGGTGCACAAAACAAGGAAATCAGAGATGTGGACAGTAATGGAGATGAGGATTGATGACAGATATCCTGTGAAACATCAAATAGTACAAAAAGAAGAAAAAATACACAAAGGGGAAAACACACAGGGAAGGAAAAAGAAAACACAGAAAATGGAATCAGATAGGTATTTCTACCAAGAGCACAGAAGTAGGAGAGACTAATAAGTCAGAGAAAAGTTTCCCTAACCGGTTTGGCTCAGTGGATAGAGCATCGGCCTGTGGACTCAAGGGTCCCAGGTTCGATTCTGGTCAAGGGCATGTACCTTGGTTGCGGGCACATCCCCAGTGGGGAGTGGCAGGAGGCAGCTGATCGGATGTTTCTAACTCTATCCCTCTCCTAACCTCTCTATGTTTCTAACTCTCTATCCGTCTCCCTTCCTCTCTGTAGAAAATCAATAAATTTTTTTTTTTAAGAGTCAGAGAAAAGTGATTTAAATGTGGAGATTTCCTGAAGATTTTAGGGGGAAAGGGTAGATTCCAAAACATATTCTTCTGGAAAAAAATAATTTTTCAATAATATATTCTGTTAAGAGAACAGCAATAGATGGACTTAAGAAACTATAAGACTTGGGAAAAGGTCACTTCTGTAGAAGACTTGGGACTTCCATGGAGTCTAGTCCAGTCCAATGGGACACTGGCCTGAGCCAACTGGATGGAGAGTAATTAATATATGACCTGATTCTATTAGTTACAGTCAGCTTTATCTCTCCCACCCTGAGAAAATTCAGTTTTCATCATTCTCATCTCTTTTCTTTAGATCTACTGAAGGTCAACAATGAAAAACAGGACCATGTTTACTGAGTTTATTCTGTTCGGCCTCACAAATCAACCTGAAATCCAGGTCATGATATTCACCTTTATGCTCCTCACATACATGCTAAGTGTTCTAGGAAATCTGACCATCATTGTACTCACACTGGTAGACCCACACCTCCAGACCCCCATGTATTTCTTCCTCCGGAATTTCTCTGTCTTAGAAATTTCCTTCACATCCATTTTTACTCCCAGATTTCTGATCAGCATGACAACAGGAAATAAAGCCATCAGCTTTGCTGGATGCTTAATTCAATATTTTTTTGCAATATTTCTTGGGGCAACAGAGTTTTACCTCCTGGCCTCTATGTCCTATGATCGCTATGTGGCCATATGCAAACCCCTGCATTACCTGACCCTTATGAGTAGCAGAGTCTGCATACTACTCGTGTTTTGCTCCTGGCTGGGGGGACTCCTAGCTATCTTACCCCCAATCTTCCTGATGAGCCAGGTGGATTTCTGTGCCTCCAATGTGCTGAATCACTATTACTGTGACTATGGGCCCCTCCTGGAGCTTGCCTGCTCAGATACAAGTCTCTTAGAACTGGTGGTTATCTTCGTGGCTGCTGTGACTCTGGTGGTTACGCTGGTACTGGTGACACTTTCTTATACATATATTATTAGGACCATTCTGAGGATCTCTTCTGCCCAGCAGAGGACAAAGGCTTTTTCCACTTGTTCCTCTCACTTGATTGTCATCTTCCTCTCTTATGGCAGCTGCATGTTTATGTACATTAATCCCTCTGCAAAAGAAGTAGGTGCTTTCAACAAAGGAATAGCTGTGCTGATCACTTCAGTTACTCCCTTGTTAAACCCCTTCATTTACACCCTAAGAAATCAGCAAGTGAAGAAGGCATTCAAGGACACCATCAGAAAGATTGTGAAACTTTAAAAAAAAGGATATATTTTAAAGTATTGAGTGGACCATATTTTAAGTGCTGAACTGGCCCTTGAAGGTAAAAAGATGAAAGGCATTTCTCTAATTTCAAGGAATCTATAGTATAGTGCAGGGGTCCTCAAACTACGGCCCGCGGGCCACATGCAAATACAAATATTGTATTTGTTCCCGTTTTGTTTTTTTACTTCAAAATAAGATGTGTGCAGTGTGCATAGGAATTTGTTCATAGTTTTTTTTTAAAACTATAGTCCGGCCCTCCAACGGTCTGAGGGACAGTGAACTGGCCCCCTGTTTAAAAAGTTTGAGGACCCCTGGTATAGTGTGATAGAAAGGTTTTTGAACTGTCAATTTTTGTAATTGGTTTATTTTTAAAATAAAATAACATGGTAAGTGTTATTAGAGAAGGACGAATGAGAATTTATAGAAAACAATTGGAGAAATTAACTGTTTTCCAGAAATGACTTGACATATAAGAAGAAAAGCATATTACTTATTTAGGAGAATTGGAAGATATGATTTTGAGTGAAAAAGAGAGGCCAAATCATGAAGGTATTCAATTACTAACTATAGAGTTACTTGAACTTTGGTGAGTCAAGAGAAGTTTTAAGAAAGGAAGTTATATTATCAGCATTGTCTTGAAGGAAATCTAGCATTGATATTGCTCTTCATCATAGAGCCATGAAGAGTATGCTTCTAAGTGTCAACAATGACTCTCCTCCCCTTTTTCTCCTATTTTCCAACTGCAGCCATTACAACTCCCATCTTTCTATAAAGGAAGAGTTTCTGAAAGGATGTACATTCACTCCATTTTTCTCTAAATAAGGCAAAAATAATCAAGATTTTTGTCAACTCACATTTATTTTTCTAGAAGTTATGGTTAAAAGAGGTTTCTAGAGGCAAGGTTAGAAGATTTTCACAGACCCTAAAAGGATGTATTGTTGCTTTTCTTAGCTGATATCTTTTTAAGTTAATAGGTGATATCTCCCTCTCTCTCTTTTTAGTAGTTTCTGGTGATTTTTTGTTAATTGCGATTTTATTTTATCTTTTTGCCTCCTTTTGTTAGATATTAGAAAGGACAAATTCTGTGACGTGGCTCCATTCTTTTAACTTTTCCCCAAATTTTTGCTTTTGTTTTTAAAATAAGCCATGGATGCCTGTTTCATAAAGTGAAAAAAAATGATATCAATGCAGTTTTGTATCTAGAATGTTCCAAATTATGAGTCTTAGCAACCAACTAGGAATAGACTATCCTACCAAGAACTCCACACATGGATCAGTGTAGCAACTTACATTTGAATAAGTGGTGGAAGGGGCTCAATTTCAATGGAACCAGGAACATTTTGGAAATATGAGTACTTGCACATCCTATCTAATAAAAGAGAAACATGGTAATTAGCCGTACGGCCGCTACACTTCCCATTGGCTAATCAGTGAGTATATGCAAATTAACTGCCAGCCAAGATGGCGGCCAGCAGCCATGCACTGAAGCGAACAGGGAGGCTTGCTTGCCCCAGTGACAGCGGACTCCAATGTTCCCCGCCTGACTTGCCGGCCTCTCAGCTGCAACTCTAAGCAACTATGTTGCAAACATAGAAGCTAAACAAAACCCCAGAAACCTGCAACCAGCCGGACCGCAACATTGTATCAAATACAGATGGTAAACAAAGGCCAGAGCCGAGGCCTCAGAGCTAAAGCTGGCCCAGCTTTAAAAAAAAGAAAGAAAAAAAGGAGCGGTTGAGAGCTTCAGTCACCCGCCAGCCTGAAAACGGCCTTCAGCCCCTCAGCCAGACTGGCCAGGCACCCCAGTGGGGACCCCCACCCTGATCCAGGACTCCCTTCAGGGCAAACCAGCCGGCCCCCACCCGTGCTCCAGGCCTCTATTCTATATAGTAAAAGGGTAATATGCCTCCCAGCACCAGGATCAGCGTGACAGGGGCAGCGCCCAAACCCCCTGATCGGCCTGCGGCTCTGTGTGTGACAGGGGGCGGGGCCACAACCTCCCTATCCGCCCTGCTCTGTTTGTGACAGGGTGCAGCGCCCCAACCCCCTGATCGGCCCTGCTCTGTGGGTGATAGAGGGTGGCGCCCCAACCCCCTGATCCGCCCTGCTCTGTGTGTGACAGGGGGCGGTG